TTTATATATTAATATCAGACTACGAACCTTATACATAAAAAATGAACAAAAATCCAGAAGATACCTTAGTTAGGCGAAGGAAGGGAGGCGTGAGCATTGTGTTCGATTTAAAAGTCACGAAAGGACGTTCGCTTGCGCAGATCCAACTTAATAAAGTCAAGGGACCGAGCGAGTGGAGACGAGCGTTGCCTTGTTTCAAAGAATCAAAAGGAAGAAAGATACAACTGAAATAATTTACAGATGGATGAACGGATGAAAAAACCACCAATGGCATTATAGTGTTCACACTGTTACTACTAAGGCGTTAACAGCGGTAGTTTCGACCACATATATGGAAAAAACATGTAAAACGTAGTGTCCGAAAACGTAGCTCACGCTCGATCCGGTTCGCGGGACATCGGCTCGGCTCGCCCAGAGAAAAAGAAAGTCTGCTCGCGGCTCGACTCGAGCCTGATCGAGCTAGCTCGAGAGCGCGAGTCTACGAACCGATTAGATAGCTCGCCACCTCTGATAAATGCATATGGATATAGAGCAGATGTCACTCTACAAACCGACGCAAGTCCCACATCTCCATCTACTATGGTTCAGACACTACATGTAATCTCCAAGGACCCACCTGTTGACCAAATCTGAGCTCTTGGAACCTCAAAAAACGCATCGTACATAGGCTATCGGACACGCTTATTACTGTGACAATGTTTGTTTTGTTGGCTGGACAACTGAAAGTGCAAAAGACGGCTTTTTTGCAAAAAATGATTTTTTCACTGTAATCATACTAAAATAAGAATATTATAGCGCCTTCATGTCTCAACCAAATTGCTTCAAGTTTTCAAAATCCGCTCAGTTTCAGCTATTGTACAGTTTAAGAAGATTCCTACTGAGATTCCATGTGAAGGTCTTCAACGATTTTCTTCTTCGTGTGTTCTCTTTAATAGTTAGGCATTTCTACTCTGTAAACATTAAACTCAAAAACTGCATTATGTAATTTTAATATAATTTCTTTTTAAACATAATTAATTTCATTGATTCCATCCTTATCTCAATAATAATTACAGTTTATTTTGAAAATTTAATAAATAAAGAAGAGCTTCCTCTGATGACGAAATAGCATAAATAAGATCCTTTTTTAAATTACCCTGTAGAAGAAAAGATAAGAAGAAATGTTTGAAATCTTTTTGGTGTCGATTTAAACAGGGCGTCGGCTTTTTTGTGTCGGTTTTTCGGTTTCAAAACAGAAACTGGTGTAGAGACGTGCTCAGAAAAAGTCGATTTTCTGAGTGAAGAAAAAGAATTTCGAAAAAGGCTCTTTATTAGTTTGAAACCTGGTCTCTAGCCATGTAATCCAACCATGTAAAAGTTTTGGCACTAGAACCTTTGGGAACGCTTGAATTAGGACTGCAGAGGTTGATACACGCTTTCAACACATACCGGTTTTAGACACCGGGAAAAATCCATTTTCGGTCCTAGAAGTCTGAAAGTTGCTTTTCTAGATTCAGTTTTCAGCGCTGGATCTGAAACGTTTAACCTCAAAATTTGAAAACGAAATCCGAAAAACCTAGGATCGCTTTTTTCAAAACGTAGATTTTTAAGGTTTTTGACTTGCTCCAAGTATTTTGAGGATATCTCAGCGAGAAAACGGTTTTGGAAGATGGAGACATGATATTCGTGAGCCTCATTCAATTCTCTATCGAATGATGTATAAATGAACGAAATCCAAATTCCGCTCGAACTCTGCTTTCCGTATATCTTATATCCCAATTATAAACTGTATTATAAAATCGAAATTTTACTTTAGCCAGAAAGCACTTGCTTTGTAACTCACTTTTTGAAGTGAAATTTTTGTTTAAAAGAAAGTAAAACTTTCTCATTGTGCAACAATTATTTTTTCGCAAACACTTAAAATTAATCAAAAACGTAATAAATATACTTTTAATGAATCACTTCAGGTACACACAACACACATGAATAAAAAAAGTAATCATCATTATCAGAGAATAAGGAAAAATTATTCAAAAAACTTGCAATCGGAATCGAGCTCAGAATTCAATAGATTTTTTCAGGTTACTTTTTTATTGCACATTTTTTCATTAAAACTGTTTGAGTTTAAATAATAAACAATTTGAAATTTTGTATGATAGGAAACCTTATGTTACACAATCCATTCGTATTTCATTATTTTTTATTGTTTTTCTTGCGTTATTATTCAATATACACGATTTCAAAACACACGAAAAAAATATCAATTAGGATATCAGGTTCATTTTTTTGAGTTGTGTTATTTTTATACAACCACTAACAAGTACTCTAGAGACTAGGCATGCACCGAGTAATTGACTAAGGATTTCATATTTTTCAAAAGCCTAGCGTTTCGTAAATTGCTTTGTTAAAAATTTTCTGACTCGGTAAGAAAGTAGAGCAAACATTTCTCTACAAAATAAGACTTTGAACAGCTCTGTACAATTTGCTTTGAGTTTTCGGCAACGATACTTCGAGAGCACACAAGCGAGTACTCGATACTCGTTTACTACTCGATTGTATGTTCTCGAAGTATCGCTGCCCAAAAATTCAAAACAAATCGTACAGAGCTGTTCAAAGTCTTATTTTGTAGAGAAATGTTTGCTCTACTTTCTTACCGAGTCAGAAAATTTTTAACAAAGCAATTTACGAAACGCCAGGCTTTTGAAAAATATGAAATCCTTAATCAATTACTCAGTGCATGCCTACTCGAGACAAGAAAATTCAGTATATATATTATATAACCAGTAGTTGAGCAAATTTGTGATAAAACAAAGAGAGTTATCCGCAACAAGTTTGAATATACAGAAACAAATTTAATGCTTCTATCTCTTCAAGTAAAAACGCTCAAATCAGAAAGAATGAGGAAAACAGCAACAGATTCTCAATACCAGCTGAGAAGAACAAGCGGATCACAAGATGATGAACAATCGTCATCGTCGCTTTCTGATCAGGTATGAAATTTCTATCTAGCTTAATATCCTGTTGAAATATACTTTGTTTTTTTAGCATCGTTTTGAACGAGGAAAATATTTCAAGCAAAGGCAACGCATACGAAGGGCATTTCACGGGCATGTCCGAATCTAGATACTCTTCCTCCCTCACTCTCCAAATATTTTGTATTTTTTTCTTTTTAGTACATTTTGTCGGGCGTTGAAAATACTTGCCGTCGCTGTGATTGTGACTGTACTTGCTTTTATAATTGCATTTGTTGTGACACAGCTCTTGAAACGTAACTGTTGTTCTTGTTGTCAAAAAGCTTGTAGAAACGTTCTCTTATGTTGTTTTTGTTCTTTTTCTTGTTGCAGCGAAAGTTACCACTACAACAAGTAAGATTCAGTAATGTAATAGGGCCTAACTATTGTCTAACTAACTGACTTCATTGTAGCTACAACAATACCCGGTACGGCATACATTGTCCAGACAAGAACATCTTCTTCACAGATATCTTCTCAATCTTTTTAAGCTAATACAACAACGATTACATCAACAAGTAACTAGGATGTGTCTTGTTTTTACAAATCTTCCATCAAAACATAGCTTTTTACTTTGATTAGACTTTGAGACCTGAGAAACAAGAAGAACAGATCAAATGATAGTACATTAGGTCTGATGAGCTTTGGAATCCAATGTTTTTTCTGTAAAATATGAGCCACAAGAATAAAATTTAATGAAAGCCTTCGATAGTGTACTGCTTTTATATTGTTGGATCTGTTTCATGTTTAGCCAGTACAACAACAACATCAACAACGTCAACCACTAGTACTTCGAGTAAGTTATTTATTCTTTTTTTGCATTTTGTGGAACTTCTACAAAGGTTTATATAAAAGCTGTCACTATGGAACACAAGAAGATTATTCCATTCTTCCACCTATTTACTTATCTGTCGTACTTTCGCTACAAGTACTATCGGGACCTTATGAACGCTGCACCCACGTTTTAAACGTTAAGTATCGCTTCATGAGTGTCAATATATTCATCGAACTAGCCGACCAGCCAGAACAGAACCCCTTTTCTTGTTCTAGTAATATTTTTTTCGACAGAGAACATGTTCTGTATTCTTAGTTTTTCCAGGTCAAAAGGTTTTGACCCTCCACCACTGAACTATTTTTAGAATTAAAATTTTGTGTGTATACTAAAAATATGTCACATTAAATCAAAGTCAATTTATTCTGTCAAAAGATGGCAATATTTAACATAAAATTAGACAAAAAATATAATTACAGAGGAAGATGTTGAGCTGATGCGGTCTTGAAAGCATTGACAGAAAACGTAGAAGTGGTTAATTGAGGCAACTGGTTTCAGTCTCGAAGAATTTGAGGTGAAAACGATAATACTGTTTCCTTAATTTCCTTAACGAGGAATTTACCATAGACGCTTGTATTGAGACGTGCTGATGTACTAGTATTGAGTGGCAACATCACAATAATTAAATCCTGATAGTACATTGAGTCCCACACAATTTTTCATAGATAATTTTGCTATCTCGATGATATGGTGCTTCCAAGTGAAGTTATTTGACAGGTGAACTTCGAGACGTTTTACCTTTCGTCCCGTTTAAGTATCGTGTTGTTCAGTAATAGACCGTTGATTGATGGAGATGAACTGTACGTTGTCGGGAAATAATGTAATAATGACGGAGGTAGGAAACACTTACAGCTATGTCATTAATGGAGATGAGAAACAGAAGTGTCCCAATCATACACATGACGGCGACTTATGTAGCAACATATAGTAGAGTATCAAGGGTAGAAGAGGCCAAAAACCAGATTGAGAATGTGAGGAAAAGCGATTGACCGTGATATAACTGACGTAGAGCGCTTTGTGTACGAGTTTTTCAATACTCGTGCTTACGTTTGATAATAGGGAAGTCGGAAGATGATTTGAATAGAATGAACGTTGGCCTCTTTTTCGTTCTGGATCACCCATTGTGTTTTCTAAAGCATCGGAGATATATCATTTTTAAGTAATTCTGTGGACATCTGGTGAAGATGTAACTCAAAAATATGAACTCTCGGTTTGAGAAAAGAAAGAGATATTGTCCATACCAAAACACTATTTGTTTTCCAGCGACAAAACATGTAAACAGAAAACTTTTTATTTACACGTTTAATACAAGTTGTTATAAATAACAGCTTGTGTAGAAAAGCTGCCAGATGGTGTAATAGGATACTGCACATTACTGGTGGAAGTGAATCATCAACAGTCAGAGAGGTCCGAATATCAGCACGTAGTGTATCCTCTGGGCTTGGTGTATTCTCATTGAGAATACACGAGAATACACAAATATCTAATATTCGAAAAATGTGCTGAGCTTGGTGTATTCTGGTATATTGTAGACAAAAACATTTATCTGAACCTTTTTGCGCGGGGGTGAGAGTGAGGGGTATTCTCAATGAGAATATACCAAGCCCAGAAAACCCAGTAAGTCCAGCAAGCTCAGAGAACACACTGCGTACTGATATTCTGACACCCCTCTCAGCAGTTGAAAATAAGTCAACAAATATTCAGAAAGCATTTCGGCTTTAGATGTATCGATAGTTGCTGTAGTGTGTACGTTCTCACTGATAACAGCCTTCCAATAACCTGTTTATTCTTTCCGATGCCGATTTATACAGCTTGCCCGGCTACGGCTTCCATTTTTTGCTCTTTTTCAAAAAGTTATTGCAATAAAGCTACAAAATAATCTAAAATGGCTGTTTGTACAACAGCTGTATTTTCTTAACGAACCAACGTTCAGAGCTGAGACACTGTTCATTTAGTAGAGAAATGTTTCATCTACTTAATCATGCAGTTGCCATTTTAGATTAATTTTTAGCTTTATTGCAATAACTTTTTGAAAAAGAGCAAAAAGTAGAGGCCATTAGCTGGGCAAGCCGTATACAGTCCCAGAAATTATTGAGATAGGAGAAGTATTTCAACTGTTTTGACGTGTGATTGTTAGGATCCTGGAGAGATCCTAAGACGGAAGAAGACAGCCCGGTAGTGTAATGGCAGTACGTCCGACCGGTAATCGGAAGGTCTGGGGTTCAATTCCTCAGTCGGGCAGTGGTCTTTTTCCGTTCTGTCGTGATATAACATCTCGCTGGGTGATTACGGGGCGTAACAATGATTTTCGGCAAACTTCATCAATATGTTTGCTCTACAATAACCTCTTATATAGAAAAAATCTGAGATAGTAGCTTGAACGCTTTTCTGTAACACTAGGTCGTTGGGCAAAAATAAATGGCTCTTAAGTGCAGTCTTAATCAAAATAAGTCCAAAAAGCCCCCAAAACGTGGATTTATGACTAACTTGAGTGCTCTGTTGAATGCGCTCATAGACAGCAAAATCTTTTTTCTAGATACATAATGCACTTTCTCAATTGGTTGTTCTCCTAAGATTTTATTGTTTTTGTGTCACGTTTTATTTAAGGATTCGATTACATAGATAAGAAAATGTATCATCAATATATGTACATGAGTAAGATAACCCTAAGTATTTTAGAAATCACATACTTTTCCATACAAACTATTATCAGAACGAAAAATGAATTTTGTCGACGGCTGGCTAGGTCATTGATGTTCTGGAGCCCTCTGGCAGACGTAAACAAGTAGAGCAATTTTACATTTAAGCTTACACGCTGATAAGATTTCTAGTAGTATTACTAGTTCTGTTGCAGTTCTTTAACTTGAATGTTTCTTTCATTCTTTTAACGAAAACTTTCGAACGCATAAATTCCGTTATTCTGCACTGGGATTTCCACTGTTATCCGTAACATCTGTAACATAGTCGTTTTGTGGCCATTCTTCTCCAAGAAATACACAAAAAGAGAAGCTTGACTACTATTGAATACTCGTAAAAGTTCTTGTCATGTGTTCGCTAAATATTTGTTTTTCTGCGATATGTGTAACGAACTCATTTTTATGTATTTTATTGTTTTTTTGTGATATTCAAGAAAATATCTGTAATTTATTTCTATTTCTAAGCTAGCACAAGTACAACTTCGATAACAACTAGCACGAGCACTACGAGTAATTTTGAACTCTCATTTTACAAAGTATGTTATATCAATGTTTCATTGATTCTGTTGTTGTTTTTTTGTCAAGCCACTACAACAACAACCACGACAACTAGGTTCAATTTACATATGATATGATATATCGAAAGAGAGTAGTATCTCTCGCTTGAGAACAGTGTGCCATCTGAATATAACAGTCCGCAAGATATTAAATTAAGCTGCAAGATTACTGAACAGATTCTTCAAACAACTACTACAACAACTACAACAAGTAAGTAAACTTCAGTATAAGCTATATGTTAAATTCGGTCTGATTCGAAATTGGACAAGCAACTCATGGTCCTCTTTCTCATAAAGGTACAACAACAACAACGATCACATCAACAGGTGAGTAATGCATCGAGAAAAAGAATATCTTGACGCGATACAACTTTTTCCCGCCATAGTGGTTGGAATAAAAAAATTCGGTGTTTGAATGTTGAAAATTTCAATTGTTTGTTTTCTCGGAGTTTACTGGGAGAAATAAACTTTGACCATATTATGTACTTTTTAACTTGTGCTTGATAAGTTCATAAATCGTCTTTTAAAAAAGCTGATGTTTTTCAGAAACACAAAAGGATAAAAACTGACCTTCTGGAACCGAATTATAGATCAACTTGAGTGCTAACTAGCAACAACTACTTTCTCGTCTTCAAGTTTTGTTCGATTTTCTTGTTGGAATCTTGGCGCCACACCAAACAACAGTTAAATATTCTATCGTTGAATTAAGTCACCAACACATTAATGACGGTAGTTATTTCTTCTCTAAAAACGCTTGTAATGATGTAGTGACTGTTAACCCGATGCCAGTGTGCATTTCCTGTGTCAGGCAAACATCTGAATTTTTTCACCAAAAAGCGCTTTCAAGGTCAAATGTGACCTTACATAGCTGAAAATATTTATTTCAATGAGGAAAAACTAATTTCGAAAAACTTTTTCAGTCAAAATAGCTTGAGATCTTTATTTAAATCTTTCAACCTCAAATCTTTTCTTCAGAAAGTCTTTATGCCGTACATGACTTCTTGTTAAATACAGAGGATCAGAAAAGCGTGCAGAAATGTCGTGGTTAAGGATATCCTGCTCTGTCTTGTCCCTATATATAAAAGTCACAGGAAAAAACTTGAAATCTAATTCGGTTGCATTTTACATCGCTTTAGGAACATTAAAAAGGAAAAACGATTACTCTTTGAATATTAGCTTACATTTCGTCAAAGACAGGCATCAAGAGAGGATCCACAGTCCATCGGGAACCCCCATTACCTGTTGAACATATTTTTTCTCTAGAGCACTATAATTTTATTTCTGTTATCAAGTAAGTCCTTAGTAAAAATTTCAGCCTTACTGTACGCCTAATGATTGAAAAAAACTTTTTTCCACTATATCAAAAACTTTCCACAAAAATGTCATTTTACAGTTATTCTACTAAAATTCATTTTAGTTACAACGATACCTACAACAGCGGGTAATGAATCGATTTGTAATTGCTAGCTTGTTTACGTTTCTACTCATGTTTTTTATTTTAATCAATCAATTCTCTGTAGCTCCCTCGTGCTCAGCAGCTGCCTCCACCACTATGGCCACCGGTCAACTTGTGTACTTAACCAGCACTTCACCAAGCAACACCTACGCAAATTACACTTATAACTTTACAGCAACATCGGTACTGTCCACCCTTCGATTTGCTTTCAAGGGTGGTGGCGCTGGAGGTAGTCCCGGTCCTCATCGTTGGTATTTGGATAACGTGTCCGTAAAAGAAAAGAATACATCCAATACAGAAATGTTAATCAACGGCGGCTTTGAAATGGGCGATCTCACCGGATGGACACTATTTTGTAACAGCTCATGTGGTAGCGGTACAAGTGGAGTGGTAGTTGCAGACGCGACTTATTGCTATGTAGCGACAGGTTCGTCGTACTGTTATTACGATTGGTGTAATGGTGGTGGTTCCGGCAATTATGATTACATCAGTCAATCATTTACAAGTGTCATTGGTTATTGGTATGTGATGAGGTTTTCCCTTCGTCAAAGTGGCACTGGTGGGCCAGTTGAACTGTATGCGAGCATGAATTAATAAACAATCAAGTAGATCAAATGATTTAAATAATCTTTCGCATCTCAGCAACTTATTTTTTAAAAAGCAGCTAGAAACATTGAAACATATGATTTTTCTACATTGTATACACAATCATTTTTTACGACTTGTTAATTGAATCAATGAAATGGATTGTAAAATAGAGTATTGTGTCGATAAATACTGTTATCGTAACGAACGAATGGTTCTCTACATTTCAAAGTAATTTTGATCTGAAACACAACAGAAATATACAGAACAATAAACCGACAATAATTTTTTCTCGAGAATCATTTAGTGATATGATTTAGTTTTTAGTACATAATTGTTATTTCACATGTGGACAAATTATTGTTCGTCAAGTAATTGGAATACCTATGGGAATTGATCCTAGACCATTTTTAGTGAATCTGTTTTCATATAAATCAGAGTTTCAAATTCTGAAAAAAATTCACAAACATTGTATTCTACATGTAAATCCTTGAAAAACACACTCAGATACATCTGCTGACAATTAACTCAATAATAAATTTAACCATCATCAAAAATCAATTTATCCACCTCAATTGACCTTAAAAGGAGAATATTGACGTTGTAAAGAAAACCATTAACAATGGGACTCATATTAGTCAACAAATCGATAATCGGTCGTTGTATATCAAGCGTTAGTAAGTGTTTCATAGAGTTTGTGAAGATGCGATTGAGATAAGTTTTGTTGCATTTTTCTAGTAGATCCTCTGTTATATAATTATCATTCCGCATTAATTTAAAAAAAATTTAATTATTTTTAAATTTACACAAGGTCAGATAGCACATGAGCATATTTCAATTTTTTTCTAAGGCATTGATCCATTTTATTAATAAATAAATTCTTCTAGTTTCATTCGTATAATCATTCATAAACTGTCATCCCAAATTTTTTTTCTTATGATAAAAAAATTTATGTCATAGATACTCCCTCGACTCTGACATTCCAAATCGCTTCCTTAACGAATTTACTAGCTACTGAACAGCTATTGGCTGATTTTTTAAGATCCTGAAGGAAAAAATTTCATGAATTCCTATTCTTGTTTTAAAGTGTGCATAATATTTGAAAGTTACTGTCAAAAGCTCAGTGCATCGAGAAGCACAAAGGTTTCGATAAAAATGGCTTTTATTGTAACCACAGAAACAGATCACAGTAATGGCGGCTGCTCTGGACATGCAAAAGAAATATTTATTTTTATGTCCATCGTTTATGGGTGACCATAATGGGCTAATGAGAGACTCACCATGGGTTCATGAACTCATTGAGGCAGAAAAAGATTTTTTAAAGAAATACAATCAGCAGGATGAAAGTTTCATTAAGACATTACATAGTCAGAAGCCTCGGCTCATAGGGTTTACTGAAAATTTGATGATCGCCACCTTCTACATTAGCTAGTAAACCTATCGGGTAAAAAGTGGAGATCATCGACTACTCCCTCGACTCTGACATTCCAAATCGCTTCCTTAACGAATTTACTAGCTACTGAACAGCTATTGGCTGATTTTTTAAGATCCTGAAGGAAAAAATTTCATGAATTCCTATTCTTGTTTTAAAGTGTGCATAATATTTGAAAGTTACTGTCAAAAGCTCAGTGCATCGAGAAGCACAAAGGTTTCGATAAAAATGGCTTTTATTGTAACCACAGAAACAGATCACAGTAATGGCGGCTGCTCTGGACATGCAAAAGAAATATTTATTTTTATGTCCATCGTTTATGGGTGACCATAATGGGCTAATGAGAGACTCACCATGGGTTCATGAACTCATTGAGGCAGAAAAAGATTTTTTAAAGAAATACAATCAGCAGGATGAAAGTTTCATTAAGACATTACATAGTCAGAAGCCTCGGCTCATAGGGTTTACTGAAAATTTGATGATCGCCACCTTCTACATTAGCTAGTAAACCTATCGGGTAAAAAGTGGAGATCATCGACTAAGAGAAAAATATTGGAAATTTAGGAAATATAGGAACGATGTAGGAAATTGATCCAAATATTTAATAATTTCGATTTTCATACCATCGTTCTCATCATCATAGAAAACATCCGTTATACAAGTTTGAAAATTTCGATTTTACTTTCTTCAATTTCTGTTAACATAATTTTGTATAACGCAGTTATAGTTGATAATAATGATGAATAAACAAATCATTAAAGATATCATTTCTACTATAATTAGGGGTGTGATAGTTCCATATCAGTTCCGAGAGCGGGAGCTAGCACACCATTTCAAGCTCATATAAAAGGAGCTGATCGCCAGCTCACATCAGTAGGAGCTGAAGTTGATCAACAGCTCACATGAGTAGAAGATGAAGCTAATCATCAGCTCTTTACCACAGTTCATTAGTTTATACTGAGACGCATGTTCTCTCTCTAGTGTTTGTTTAAGGATGTTTACTTAAATATAATACGTCTTACTACGATGCACTTTAACTGTCCTGTCACTTTATTATCTTGAAAATAGAAAAAAACATACTAAATACAAAAATTAGGTAGATGTTTAGGTACATGTTTTAATGTTTAATTTCTTTTTGGTATTGCCATTCTATTTTAATCACTGGAATTAAGCTGGTAGATAGAGTCAAGCCTCACACAATTTATTACGATAGCAAATGTGATGGCATACGCTCTTCACATTTTTTCTCTTTCGTTCACTCTTCCCTTTAACTCATAAACCCCCTAATGACAACTATGACTATTCAGCATCTTGGCGGGAACACGGGAGCTCAATGCCAAGTTTGGCTATTCTGGCACGGAAATATTTGGCGATAAGTACCACCAGTGTTCCTAGTGAATCTGCTTTCTGCGTGTGTAATTACGTTTTGCGCAAGAATCGGCTAGCGCTGATATCAAGAAATGTTAAATATACAATGTTCTTGGAGGACAAGTTCAATTAATATCCACTTTCATTTTTAATTCATGTTTTATAAAGCTTTTCTCCAGCTATGGTTTATTTCTTAGCATGCAATAATGCTTGACAGAAGACAGAGAATGAATTTCACCGTAGGATCAACATATTGTTACGCGGGTGTAAACTTACAAAATATTTGTGTTTAGCAAGATCCTGAATGATGATACTACATTTTCGTCATTCCACGATCTATTTAGTATCAGTTCTCACAACAGTTCTTTTGAAATAGTTTGAGTTATTTAGCAGCGCTTTTGAGTATAAAACTGTTGGAGCTTGTTAACAGCTCACATGAGTAGGAACTGAAGCTGATCAACAGCTCACATGAGTAGGAACTGAAGCTGGTCACCAGCTCTTTACTACATTTACTCACAGTTCACGAGCTTGAACTGTCACACCCCTAACTATAATACTACAGTAACAGTGAATCAGTAAACGCTGGGGGTAGTGCATAACCATTTGGTGTTACGAAAGGAATTATTTGTATTCATATGAATTCATGTTATGAGATGGAGAAATGTTGGCCACAATAGTCCTAATACGTCTGCCCATTTTGCTCTTCTTTGACAATTCTCTCTATCAGAGTTGTAATCGGGCTGGTGCCGATCCATTCCGGTATAAAGATTTAGACCGGCTGTCTCCACCGGTCTTTTGTAGGTCTAGAAAGATTTTCAGACCGACCGGTGATTGACCAGATTTTAGCCGGTTTTGAAATTCTTGAAATTTTCTCTTCTTCACCAGAAACAAGTGAGTTTTTCTGCCCTTTTGTCAGTCTAGGAAATCTTTGAAAACCGGCCAGCTTTCTGCCATTTTTTCACCGGTCTAAACATTTTTTCAAAAGTGGCAGGTCTTTTGCCGGATTTTCACTAGTCTAAACCGATTTTTGGACCGGCCGGCGGCCGGCAGGCTCGGTCCGTTCCGCTGTTTTGGACCAGCCGTCCGGTCCGGCCTCTTATTTTTAGACCGGTTATAACTCTGCTCTCTACTATTTCTTGTCCATGGTGTCAGCATTTCTCAACTAGTTTTCTAAATTTTGAGTTTTATACACAGAAGAACTACATTGTAGTCGTTCATGTCGAAATTATTCTATATCACCAGAAACAACTGGACACTTAAGAAAGTGCCTTCGTCAGTGTATATAATTTCAGACTGAGTTCAAATTCTAATAATAATGGCAAGTCGAAAGAAGAGAGCAATGCTTTATATACAAGATAAATACGTTATTATACTATTGATGAAGCAAGAAATACTGTTGCGGTGATTCGGCAAAAGTACTAGAAGATGTTGAATAGAATACTCCACCAGATACTTACAAGGTTATAAGAAGAAAAACGTATGAAATAGTTTGATAAACAATGCCATCTTCTACGAGAACAGTGAAAAATCCATGTCAACGATGATATGAAACAATTACCATTCATTTCCTGGATTTCCCAAAATTTCATAAAAAGTCCAGTGAAAGCACGTTTTATCATATCTTCTTCTTTTTGTACGAAAAGATTGGTTAAAATACTTTGTTATTCTACGGCTAATATACTAGCAATAAGTCAAATATTGTGCAAATATTTTGATTAGAATCAAAACCAGTCGTTTTGGGATCATTGACAGTTCGAAAAGACTGCTGCAGCGAATTAGCGAAATAAATAAGCCAGAACAAACAAAAACAGCCAGAAATATCCAAACAATAAACAAAGTTTTGTAATCTGATATAGTTTTGCCAAACGATCTCTAGAATTTTGCGACAAGCAAATAATAATATTTAAATTTTATTGTCGTCTTGAGAACCCAGGAAGTTCAGTCTCACCATGCAGTTTGAGTTTTTTTTCGACTATTATCAAGAGTTTTTAGTGTCAATGAATGTAGAACTGTAACGTACTCTGGAACAATTCGACTTATGCTGTCCGTCTTTCAATTATGTCCGTCTAATTTATTTTCATCCATCTTATTTTAAGGCGCTTGCTTCTGGAAACCGTTTAGTAAGCGGAAAACAGCACATATACTGTTTTCTGATCAGATAAAATATCGGTTTAATCTTAAAACTTGCAAATAAATCAACATATATCTACTAACATTAACGAGAAAAATTTAGTTTAGGTATAGTAAGTATATCACTATCACTATTTCTTATCGTGTTTGACCGGCTTTCTCTTCGGTGCACGATAAACTGAAGCTCACTGTTTCTCAGCATTGGTTTGTATATAATCAGGATTTTTATAGCAGTGCAGAACCCGTGACAAGACATTTCGATCAATTGGACCCCGACTCTTCCACGAATTTTTCATAGTGCACATTTGGACATTTTTGGCCGTGTATGGCGGGAGGTCATTCGTGATAATGTCGGTATATAGTACTTTATTTTAAAAATATATGCTCATTCGACTTACTTCGAATAGATCTTTACTCGAAAGCCAGTCCAGACTAGCAAGCAGTTTATTCGTATCGCTGTTTCTCATAGCTCTACATACTGTTAGCGCGATGCTGCACTGAGATGTTAACCAAATGATGCTTGACTGAAAATTGTTATCGTGAGAGAAAAACATGAAGAGCATCGAAAAACAAAACATAGTTTAAAACATTGTTTGGTTAAATAATTGCAGGAAGTAAGGGTGTATGCTCATGTCTCACTTAACACGTCAATTTTGGTCAGAAAAACATTCGAGTTAAGTCTGGTTGTGGACTGGCCGAGGGCTTTTCCAACGACAGTAGATCGTTCTGTTTATCACTACCTTTATGTCGATCTATGATTCATCTTTTCTTTCCTGCTTATAACAATTTTCAATGTTTATGAGCTACACTTGATTATCAGCAAGGCAATGACTAAAAATACACTAGAATTATTAGCATGTGATTGTTCACATCAGAATTATAATACGTGTCGATATTGATTAACCGACATTTGAGCGCCGACACTTGAGCAACCGACAGTTGAGCGACCGACAGTTGAGTAATAACGACAGTTCAGCACCAAGTGCTTCCCCTCACCATCCTCATCCTCATTTGTGCGACCCACATTTGAGCGACAGCATCTGAAGGACTCCAACAATTGAGCGAAGCGCATCACTTATAGCCACTCACCCTCACCCTCACTCACCCTTACCCTACACAACCTCACCCTCTACAGATCTCCAAATAATTCAGTTCATAATCGGACGACCAAAAAAATTGTTCTGATCATCTTTATCGAAGTGAATAATCATTCGACTTTCCTGATCGGCAAAAAGTCATATTGAAAAGTGTCTAATGTCGGAGTCGCTCAAACGTCGGTCGCTCAAATGTCGGTCGCTCAAACGTCGGTTGAAGGTCGATATTATCAAGTAAAAAAGTCGTTATTGTTAGACAAAATAAATAAATAAAGTCGTTATTGTTATTTATAAAGCGACAAATGTTTGTTGCTTTGCTGCCTGTAACTCAAAGTTCGAGCAGGATTTCAGTTTTCGTTAATTTATAAGTGGTTGGATAGACCACTCAAGTTGAGTAAGAAAATGTGTGCTTTAATTTTTCGAATAAAATTTTTTAGAGAGAAAATTTCAAATTCTTAGATATGTTCATTTCTTTTTATGAAACAGCAAAACTTTTTCTACTTCATTCTTCTTTCGAAGTTGCAAAACTACTTTCTCCCTATTCAGCATGAAAAATTCAGTATAGAAACATAGTTTAAGCCTTGTTCAAATCTAGTGTGATCTGAACATTTTTGAGCCAAAAAGAGGAATCGGAGAAGGGGCAGGTCAGTTTACAAATCTATCTAGTTTTTTCTGACTGGATATGAAACGGGTTTGGTAAATGTGAACGCCACAACGCGACATTGCTATCAGATTTGCCAGGATTAGCAAATCAGTCAATCCGTTCTTCCTGCTTTTTGAACATTTTCTTCAGCTTGATTTTTTTTCGTCAAATTTTGTGACGTTTTCTCCGATTTTAAAATATTCTGTGAATTTCTCAAAAACTGATTCTTTCCAGGCACGTTTCGAAGTCGGAAAGTCATGGCAGCTATCTAATAAAAACTACATCAGAAAACACGTTCTGCAAATTTTACTTTCGCATTTTAAATTTTGTGCATTCTAGTTCGATCATGTTTTACTCAGACTTTTCTTCGTGAATATCATATAACCAATCTACCCATACATCTCTTACTTCCACAAAAATTATTCCAGTGAGAAGCTAAAAAATGAGAAACTCTTGCAAATTACCAAGATGATTTGTAACCATTTTTAGAACTTTGTTTATTAAAATCAATCCTGTTTTCATCATGCATGATGTAACAATGATCTAGTTATAAATTAAGCATGTATGTAGATGCGTTGACTGTTTCGTCTGTAAAGATTTTTGAGAAATGAATCAGTTGTGTGATAAATATGTGCACATACTTCTTTTCCTTCTCCCAATATTATTTTCCCAAGTAGATGATGTCATGATTTTTCTTTTTCTTCTCCTATTTTGTGCCAAGAATATCTTCTGAGAATTGTACATACATTTAGTATTCGGCATTTGTATTTGCTTTCTCTCACTATAATCTTTGCTGTCGGTTAACCAAATAGTTAGTCGCAGATAGAAGAACAGGTAATAACACTTTCGTCACGTTAATTTTCGTCACATAGAAAAAAGAACTTTCATTACACATGACAGAAGTGTATGACATTTTTTGGAGAGTACCACCCCACGCTTTGGTGACTAAATATATTGCATCTTTCTACTCTAAGCTTCTGCCAAATGTTGACATGACATTTATTGTGCAACCTAAACAACGATGGCTCTTGTGCAATAAATTGTAATGAACTAATTTTTCTTTCCTCGAGCTTGATGGCAAGAACGAAGGAAAAGAATTACTGGAATATCTTTAGATTTTACATTAGTCTGTAAATTTTTCAATGCATCTCAGGTTAAATTCCACCCATACTTGTTGTCGCAATTTTTATTTCTATATAATGAAACGATTCAATGATACGTCACAGATTTCAGAAAACAACAGAAAATACTTCGGTACTGATTTGAACGCTAAAAATGAGAATAAGTGTATAAACGGAGTAAGGACTTTATTATAAAGCATGAAAAATGTGTAAAAAAGACAAAAATTGAGTGAATGCCTTCATTCAAGTCACTATTGAATTCTCTTTTAAACGTATCCACTATTTGTCACCTTCCGCAATTGTCGTCTGTGATTGTGTTATCGCATGACCTTGATTTTCACGATTAGCTTTTTCGATCGGATCGTTCGCTGGGTGTTTTCCTTCGATTTTAGCTTCAGCAAGATCTGCTGCTAAAATTGTCTTGTCAGCTAGAAACACAACACTTTTGAGTTAGTAGAGCATTTAACAAGAAGCAAAACTGCAAAAAATGAAAAGATTTGTTGGATAAAGATCTTTTCGTACGAAAATTCTAAACAAGTTAACACTTCAGATCCAAATTTCTACTTCACGGCCGCAAGCATTATCTGAAATGATCGTGGAGAAATTTTTCAACCCGAAGCTGATACTGAGAAATTGTGGTGTCTCTCTTATCTACTTAAAAGAATATGCACTAAACCCTTCGCAGAATTCAAGGTCATCGCATATTCCAATACTACTCCGCCATAAACGTTTGACGGGACACAATAAAAAACCGCTAGCATCCTAACTCAAAACAGAGCGCTACTCGCATTAGAAGGTCATCCAAAAGGTAGCAATTCATCGTGTTACTTTAGAAGATCACGCCCTTCTATTTTACGCAGAGATATATACGCGTCTCGAAGCCCGTTATTATTATTCTACTGAAATCTTCGAACTAAAGCTATTGGACTCAGTGCCTGCATCTAGTAAAACAAAGATAGAAGAAAAAGACTCCATTCGTTTGAATAACTACGACTAGTTTTCTACCCAAGTTCAACAACTGTATTAATTGTACACTACAATTAGTATGAAAATTGTTTTTCAAACTATATCACCTCCCACTTTCGTATTCAAAAACGCAGGAAAGTGAGGAAGAGCAATCACCTACACGACAATGTGAATTATATAGATGATTTGTAACCATTTTTAGGACTTCGTTCATTAAAATCCTGCTTTTATCTGTATGACGTAACACTGATCTAGTTATAAATTAAGCATGTATGTAGATGCGTTAACTGTTTCTTCTGTAAAGATTTTTGAGAAATGAATGATTTACGTGATAGATATATGTACACATACTTTTTTTCCTTCTCTCAATATTATTTTCCCAAGTAGATGATCTCAGTATTTTTCTTTTTCTTCTCTTATTTTGTGCCTAGAATATCTTCTGATAGTTGTATTTACATTTAGTAGACTATTCGGCATTTGTATTTACTTTCTCTTATAACCAAATAGTTAGTCGTAGATAAAAGAACAATATATACAGTCATCTATAAAGACGGGGCATTACTCATCAGAAAAAAGAAAGATTCCTTTTATGTGTTGCATATGCAAAAAACATAAAAGAAATAATTTATTCAGAACGAATTTGATATCCTTCTGTTGATATTTCAAACCTGTGTTAGAGTACAAACTAAAGTCAAGGAAAATTGACCTAACAAAAATATTTTACTTTGTGCTGGACCAACTTGAAATTTTCATTCTTCCTGCAGCAGCATTTTAAAACTTACTGCTCGCATCATCCTTCTTGTGTTGATTCGACTCAGTAGATGTCAACTGTAATGTTTCCCCAATTGTCGTCTGTGATTGTGTTATCGCATGACCTTGATTTTCACGATTAGCTTTTTCGATCGGATCGTTCGCTGGGTGTTTTCCTTCGATTTTAGCTTCAGCAAGATCTGCTGCTAAAACTGTCTTGTCAGCTAGAAACACAACACTTTTGAGTTAGTAGAGCATTTAACAAGAAGCAAAACTGCAAAAACTGAAAAGATTTGTTGGATAAAGATCTTTTCATACGAAAATTCTAAACCAGTTAACACTTCAGATCCAAATTTCTACTTCACGGCCGCAAGAATTATCTGAAATGATCCGTGGAGAAATTTTTCAATCCGAAGCTGATACTGAGAAATTGTGGTGTCTCTCTTATCTACTTAAAAGAATATGCACTAAACCCTTCGCAGAATTCAAGGTCATCGCATATTCCAATACTACTCCGCCATAAACGTTTGACGGGGCACAATAAGAAACCGCTAGCAGCCTAACGCAAAACAGAGCACTATTCGCATTAGAAGGTCACCCAAAACGTAGCAATTCATCTTGTTATTTTTGAAGACTGCATTAATTTAAGCAACTGCGATTAGTTTTTTTGTACTTACTGTTGTTGCTCATGTTTAAGTTTTGGTATGTATATAAATGCGTTAACTGTTTCTTCTGTAAAGATTTTTGAGAAATGAATAATTTACGTGATAGATATATGTACACATACTTTTTTTCCTTCTCTCAGTATTATTTTCCCAAGTAGATGATCTCAGTATTTTTCTTTTTCTTCTCCTATTTTGTGCCTAGAATATCTTCTGATAGTTGTATTTACATTTAGTAGACTATTCGGCATTTGTATTTACTTTCTCTTATAACCAAATAGTTAGTCGTAGATAAAAGAACAATATATACAGTCATCTATAAAGACGGGGCATTACTCATCAGAAAAAAGAAAGATTCCTTTTGTGTGTTGCATATGCAGAAAACATAAAAGAAATAATTTATTCAGAACGAATTTGATATCCTTCTGTTGATATTTCAAACCTGTGTTAGAGTACAAACTAATGTCAAGGAAAATTGACCTAACAAAAATATTTTACTTTGTCCCCGGCCATCTTGAAATTTTAATTAATTCTGTAGTGGCATTTGAGATTTTGCTGACACAAAGAGATAAAATTTATATGTTAATTCTATCTACAGTAATTATTAACTAAAAGTAGAAGGTAACGCAGAGAGTTGAGAAACAAATGGCTCATATTAAGCATTCGTGCAGAGGATTTTCACTAACGACATTGTGAACCACAGTAAATTTTAACTTTATATGGACACTTAGTTTAAGCTTTAATCTTGAACCAGAACGAAATCGAGAATATAAATTCCCATTATATCATTCTGAAACTTAAACTATCAAAACACAAAATCAATCCTTGCACGAAGATAGGATCTACTAGTGCCAGATTCAACATTAACTATGCTCGCTTCCGCTGAAGGACTAGTACCTGTAGTTAGAGATCCTTTACACGCTTGTATGAATGTTGACATCGGTAGAGCAGTTGAGCTCTCAAAGGTAAAGAAACTTATATGTGGTTAGAAATAATACATCACTGGCTTTAAATCGACGGGAGATTTCGCCATACATACCTGATATGTATGTATTGTTTGCAACTGCACCGAGACCAGTCAACAGAGCAATACTTTCGTCACCACATCAATAGCAAATGAAAAAAAAAACTTCAGTTTACCTTTGTTGTAATCATTCTTCATTAACAGATAACTTGAGAAAGCTGAATATGTGCAATCGTATATTTATATAAATGGTTCTTTTGCACTGAAACTTTACTTAAAGATTTTCCAAGTGACTTCTCTTAGCTAGAAGAAGACCGATCTCGAGCAGACCTGGAAGCGAGCCGTGAGGCTTTCCTGTGCGCGGGTCCGATGAACCTCTCCAGTGATTGTCTGAGAAACACCGCATAAAGCTTTATTGTAATTACACACAATAATATTTTATGCATTAAAAATGATGACATTTTCTTGCATTACTTAGCAAAATTTTTGTTTCTGCAAGAAAAAACGCATAAAAAATTCATGCGTGTGATGTTACGTGAGGCACGGAAATTTTACTACAGATTTTTCAAGAAAAACAGACGTGAATTTTTGCAATTTTTTGCATTAAGAAGCATTGCACGGTAGAGACACCCATTTCTCACATACGTTGGTCAATCAGTGTCTGACTTTTTTTGTTCCTATTTTCACAGCAGGTAGCAGCGACACACTTAGGAAGATTTCCAAAAGTTTTTGATTGGAACTTACTTACTTCCTTAAGTCCAATACTACGAAAACAAATAAGTTTTTGGCAGCAAGAAAATTCCCTTCGAAATAGCGTTTCTTAAGACAGTTAGGATGCTAATTTCGCCACGTTTTGCCCGCCTTTTTCTTCGGGAACATGATGCAATTCATTCCAAGCTTAGTTAAAGATTAAACTTAAGAGTACTCTTCCCTTTTTCTAGAAAAGATGTTCGTTTTTGAGTAACACAGTGCATGATAGAGTGAAACATCCTAGATAATATAGGACTGCTCCCGGCGGCCCACGACCTTTCGTTGTAGAAATACGAATTTTCTAAACATCGCAACCGGAATATCAGATCTAAAAGATAAAAATCAGAAAAAGCTCAAGAAAAAGACGTTCAAAATCAGAATACCTTAGAAGAGACAAAAGCAGAAACGAGGCAGAAAAACGACAAAAAAAATCAGAATTTTTCTGCCAAAATTAGCATCATATATTTATGGAACGAAAGTACAATTCATTTTAAATAATATCTCAGGTTTTGACTTTTTGCAAGGAGCTGCTCAGTCTATGTAAATAAAATTCACTACCTTGTAAAGATAAAGACTTTTGCGCTCTATCTGGTTTTAAAAGTTTTCCGCGGCGGAAAGGTTATTATTTGATTATGTGACGAAATCGGCCCCTGCTTGAATTCCATCGACACATACATGGTTAGATGCAGAATGAACAGGAGAACATTTCTAACCACTCGACAGATCTTAGAAATGCTCTCAGAAAGCATTGGGTCCAATTAACTGTAATCACTTCTGACACGTATTATTGATCATATTCTCAAGTGTGTCTCTCTCGGCCTCATATCTCAGTAGAACTATCATACGTCATTCGAAAGCTCTTCTTCTGCGCTATATTTCTGTATATCGCATATACGGAAATAGTCGTTCTGAGGCCAAGTATGTTTGGAAATACTTCCGTTTATGGAAAATAATCTCCTATGTGCAAAAAGTCTAAGATAATCTATGACACCCTTTATCATCTAGCCACTACGATAGATATACCAGTCGATAGGAATCTCTCGCGCTACAAGTTCATATATATGTATATATGATAGTGAAAAAAGTGTCCTAGGATTCCTTGACATTAGAAATGCTGTTTAGAAAGCCGTGAAAAGTGGGTTGCTTATTCCACGGTGAGGATCCTATGATCAACGCTTCCCATCTAGCCACCACGATAGATATACCATTCGATAGACAGCACTACCATTTCATGTATGTGACATAGTGACAAAAGGGTCCTAGGGCATCTTGACATAAGAAATAGTTTCTGTAAAGCCGTGAAAAGCGGTTGACTTATTCCATCGTGAGGATCCTATGATCAACGCTTCCCATCTAGCTACCACGATAGATATACAAGGGGGAAAAAGCGTACATCCGTGTAGATATACCAATCGGTAGAGAATTTCTCGCTCTACAAGTTCATACATATATGATAGTGAAAAAAGTGTCTTAGCACCCGTTGATATTGGAAATACTTTCTGCAAAGCCGTGAAAAGTGGGTGACTTATTCCATCGTGAGGATCCTGTGATCAACGCTTTCCATCTGGCCACCACGATATATATACCATTCAATAGAGAATTTTATGAGCTTCAAAATGAGCTATAAATAAATCTTTCGGAAATGTGTCCACATTGGTCAACAGTTGAAACACTTGGCCGATGTAATGATTTTGACGTATCCTAGTGCTTTCAACACTCCGTTAGTTAGTGTCGTAATGAAAATTATGTATTGTTCAAAAACATACTACTGGATAGCCCTTGAAATTCTCTAGAAATTGAGCTGGTCACAATATCTGGACACGTCGGACCAGCCATTAAAGATATGGAAAAGAAGCTTTTGGGTGTTATCTAAGCAGTACAGTGTGTCATAATCACAAGGACTTCCTTGTTTTTGACTAGATGCAGTTTTGAATAAGGAATCCAAATATAGCAAGTTTAAGTCTCCATGATACTAAAGAAAAAAAATCACAAGCCTTTTTCTTAAAACGAAAAATTTTCATGTCTTTGAGACTTTCCGAGTATTTTGGATTTTCCTTATGAATGAAAGCGTTTTTTTGAATGGGAAGGTGATATTCGTGATCAGCTCGTTGAGTCGAATACGAATATGTATAATAGACGAAAAGAAAACTTTCATTCGAAGTTTGCTTTACGTGCATCTTATATAAGCAAGTTTAAGTATATTATATACACAACAAAATATAAGATGTAATCCTTTCTTGAAAGAAAATAATCAATAAAATCTTTTCTGGCTTGTATTACATCGTCACTTTCGTATCCTTCGTAGTAGGGCTTGGCGGCATTTGGACCAAATTTCACGCCCCAACGGCGCAGACCAAGGCAACAACTGTTTTACAAACGGATCAAACCATCTTTCGAATCTTAAGTTATGCCAGTAATTTCGTAAAGCTTTGCATCAATAAAACTGGCCAGGTCAGCAATTTTAAACGCCGCTGACTTTTGTTTACACTGTTCCGTAATGAATGCTTTGGCTAAAACTTCAATGTCAGGAAATCAGTCGTAAAAACATGGTCCTCTTTCTCCTCCACGTCCGTCACAATAATATTGTTCTAAATCCTGGAGAATGAACACTTTTGCCCACTTGTGACATGTTTTTGATCGCCAACAGTCTAAACTTTTCAAAAGTTCATCTGTACTAGTAAAAGATTTTCCTAAATACCGCATGAGCATGTAGATCAATACACTTAAATCTTTATAATCCCATTTTTCAATGCACATCCGTACTAAATCTGCCATTTCAGACAGCACAGATTTATCGGCGAAGTTAATTCTTGTAGACTCATCTTCCACTAAAAACTCAGCATCACCACGCGAATCTTTCGTTTCAACGTCAAAATCAGTTGGAAGTTTCACCCTTTTTTTCTATAAACGCTTTACCGATGCTCGCTTTAACTGTCTGGCTCTCGCTCATGGACGCCTCATGGCACAGCCTACTGTACAAAAAATCTAAAATGAGAACTAAACGTAGACGCAGTAGAATCACGTAGAAATTCACATTAATACGCAAAAACTTTCCAGGTTTTGGGCTAATGTTTTTTTGGAGACCCTCTAGAAATCCTCTATAGATCCCATCGATATGAGCATCGAATTCCCCGTGTTTTTTCACCTAAAAATCGAAGCTTTTAGCTTCTTAAATTGAGATTTTTCTGAGTTATCCAAGGACGACTTGAAGGATTGTGTCATCCTTCAATAAAATGTGATTTTTTCTGGAAGGAAGAAAAATAAAAACAAAAGCCCACATTACTTTTATCGTGGTCACATGACAGTTCGAATGACGTAAGAATTAAAGGTTTATCTTTTGTTCAGTCGTAGTTATTAACTTTGTAATCGAAAGGTGTCGCATTTTCACGCCCCTCTAGAAAATGGGCCATACATCGATCCGGTAGTAAGCGAACGGTTTTGAAACACTATATTCGGTTCAACTTTTCATGCTGAATCTAATGAAAAAAAGCATTTTCAGTTTAGACCAAATTGTGAAAGAAAAGATTGACATTTTCCGTGAAAAGGGCGAACCGGACGAACGCGTTTTTTCTCAACAAATCTTACATATTCGGGATCAAAGTCGAAAACTGCGTCGAATAGTGTATGATCTGTCAAGAAAAACATTTTAATTCGAGCTTTGAATTGTGGGCGCCTTAAGGGCCGCCCCCCCTCAGAAATTATCTCGGACACCGTGCATCTGATCTAGACGAAACTTTCCATAAATGTTCGGCACAATTAGTTACGGGAATGAAAAAATTTTTTTGTCTCCAAGTCTTACGGTTTAGGAGTTTTCCAGAGATCAAGGTCCAAAAAGAACCCTGAACGGCGTCCAAAGATTTTTTAATATACTTCAAGCTGGAGAGTTCGGGTTTGTTTTATTTTAAACTAGACACCTAACTACATCGACTGACCGGCGCCGATTTTTTAAT